TCTTCCAAGACAATTGCCCAGTTACAAAAAATGGTTTCTCGGACCCATACACGTTTAGCCCTTAGCTTACAAAAATTTACAACAAAAATAAGAGAGCAATATACTCTTCACAAAACAAATCCACGCTCTCAACTTGGCGGGATCACCACATCTTTACCTGCACCAAAGTCCCATAGGGGTGAGCATAAAGTCCAGTAGAGAATTCTTACAAAGTATATACAGTTATGTAAACTCTCAATGAAAAATGCAAATGTCAATGCCATGCCATACCATTTTAAAGAAATTTCATTTTTATGCTCTTCTTGAAGATCACCATTTTTCAATAAAAGTTTACAATCTCAACAATTTCCAAAACTTCCAATTTTAATCAATAGGGGGCGGTAAATACGAATCAGGTAATCCCTAGGTTGGTGTTTGCAAGTAGGCTCAACGAGCACTACCAATAACCCCACTTTACCGGTTGCTAACCGGAAGGGAAGTGGTACCTCCTCCGCGCGTGTTTTCGGTCTTTCACCCCGGACACTCAGGCCAACTTATCAATCTCATCTACACCCCCTATCCGGACTTACCAACGTATTTACCCCATAACACATTTCCATAATTCTTATTACCATACCATTTTCTTTCATGATGTAAATATCTTCAATCTAAAACTCAAAATGCATAATAAATAATTGAATGAGTATGCAATGCAATGATCTTTCCATACCTCATAACGTTTTCTCCCTTTTCAAATGTCTTTACAGTAATGCCAACAATCACATTTCCCATTTCCTCTCCTCAATGTTCTTTCATAAGTTAGCCATATGTCATCAACACATAGCTACAATTTCTCATTCCACAAGTCTTAACAAACTAGTCTCTTCAAGACTACATGTGATGTTCTCAAACATTTATCTCCAATGTTTACAATTCTCACAATCCATGGTGCACAATAATTTGCCATTTTTCAACAATACATGTTCAAGTGTTTAGCAATAATGTTAAAATAACATCTCATTTCTCATATATCAAATAGGTTACAATTTTTCCAAACATAAGAAGAAGTTTACTCCCATTCATTCTCTTGACACAAGAAAATGAGAGAAATCCATAGGCTTTTTCATATTTTTCCCAAAATCCCCAATTCCTAGGGTTTTTCATCAAAATCAAACATTTCCCATTCCCCTTAATGAAACCCTATCAAAAACCATCTTTCTTGAATTTAATAAATAGGCAAACCCTCTAGGATTAATAAAAAGATTGAGATTCAAACCCACTTTAAAAACTCTCTACTTTTGGATCACAAATTCAAATCAACGCAATAACTTCAAGGAAATTTTCAAATCAACATTCATATAGCAAAACATGTATATATAATTCAAGAAATCCCTACCTTAAGGTTTCAGAGAAGATAGAGAGAAGAAACCCTAGAATCAAAAGATGAGAGAATCTTTGACTTCCACCGCACCAAGTGAAGCTCTAGTTCTTGATCTTCAAGATTAGTGAGAGATGATGATGATCTAGACCCAAAGGATTGCAAGAATCAAAGAGTATAAGTGTTTCATAAGGGTTTTCTAGAGAGAAGGAAGAGCAAAAATGACCTTTAGAGTGAGAGAAAGAAGCCCCAAAATGAGATACAACTCGGCCAAAAGAAATAAAAAAAAGACTGAATTTTGGACTCAGGTCGACCGCAAGTGCGGCACTGATCCCCGCACGTGCGGCTGCCCCCGCACTTCCCCCTCCGCACTTGCAATTTAAGCAATGTGCAATGCCGAACAACCCTTGAATTCCGCACGTGCGGCCCTTGGTTTCCAGCTCATAATTTTCCCCCTTCGATTCTAGGCACCTTGGACCGGACCTCACATCCTCCGGGACAAAAGGAAATCAACACCAAAGAGGCAAGAGCAAGAATTTGAGACAAACTTCCGAGCACGACAACAACTCGAATGATTTAACAAGACTTCAAGTGAGACTTGACACACTAACGTGACAAATTCGAGATTAAACAAGGGAAAAAAGACGGATGGCATGCTAGGTCATCACACCCACATTGATTGTGGTAGAAATACACACTTGTGTATACAGAAAATATATATGTAAGATATTTTCTCCCATCAATTTTGGTCCATTACTCCAGCAGTTTTGCAAGAGTAATGGCCATTAGTGGCCAGCCTTCATGGGCATTAGATGATAGTCTTCATGGCTAGAGGCTCCTCCTCTCTCCCCCATGGTGTATAAAAGGAGACCTACCTCCCTTGGTTTAGATACAACTTTTCCCTTCTAGAATTATATAGTCAGTCTGCTTGTGTCTACAATTTTCTTCCTGTGTGAGAGATTACTGCCATTTTCGGTTCGCCAAAGCTAACAGAATGTGCTTCTGAGTTAGCCAGTTTAAGCCATCTTATCTTGGGAGACAGAAGTCAACGTTCCTCCAGCACCCACGGTGAGGCGGCTAATCTGTTTTAAGGACACTGTGGTATCACACAGAATTTGGTTTTCCCCCTTGATTTCAATATTTCAATTCCATTTGTATTTCGGTTAATCATGGTTCATGTTATGTAAGTTGACTGATTAATTTTTAATCTATTTGTTTCATTTAATTAGCCTATATGACCAACACTCTTAAGGTAGGAATTTCTTCAACCTTTGATATGATTCTTAGCTTGGTTATTTGTTCTTTAAAAATGTTTAGTGATTTGGAGTTTTTGGGTTTAAATCTAGGCATTGATTTTGAAATGTAAAATATGGGTTTTTCAAATGGATTCTTGAGAAAGGTTGTGTGAGTGTGAATATTGTTGGGTTGTGTTGAAATGTTGAAAATTTGTTTGTTAAAAGTGATTTTGAAAGTAAAGGATGTTTTATTGAAAAATCATTGATATTTGATTATAAAAAAGGAAAAGATATTGAATTTTGAAAAGATAAGATGAATGTATCTATTGATGATGAGAGTGGAGTTGGATATGTATTATCACTTTCATTTTGAAATTTATGAGATTAAATTTGTTGAAAAATTATCTATTGAGTAGAGATATATGTTTTGGACTATTGGTGGAGGATAACTTTCATTGTTGTAGAAAATGCGTAAGGATTAGGTTAATTGAAATTAATTACTCATATATTATGCATTGAGCATTGTTTCATACTTAAACATTGAAAATATATTGTTTTGAGAAAAAATGGTGTATACCTTGGTGAATTTAGTTAGAGAGTGTGATTGTGGTAAATTCTATTGGCGTGAGTATTTGTGGTGAAAGTTTAGAAACCCACACGGTTAGGTGTCGATTCTTCCGGTTAATACCGGTATAATGACTTTGATAGTGCTTGTAAAGCTTATAGACAGACACATATATAGAGATTCTCAATGGCTCGTATCCACTGCCTTATTTTCTGATATTAAAAAGTATTATTTTTATGAATTGATACATAATATTGGCATTGCATTGTTTTGAAAGTGAAGGTATAATGTTTGGCAAATAACATGCATATGTATTCACCTTATGACTTTGTTAAACTTCATACATGGTGTTCAAAGTAATCTCTACTAGACTTTAGCTCACCCTACGTGGAAAACAACTTTAAGATGCTAATGACATGCCTCCACCAAGGACATAGCTTGAGAGAACTTGAAACCGAGAGTTATTTTCTTTCTTTCTTTTTTTTTTTTTTTGTGTAATTATTTTATACAAACCTTGGGCTTTCTATGTATTGAGTTTAACTTACTTTTGTCATACTCAAGGATTGACTTGGAAAGATGTAGCCATTAGGACATAAATTTATTTGTACTTCCTTTTATTACACTTCATTTATACATGTCATATGCTATGGATTCAAGGTCTGTGATTTGTGAATGTATATATGTATATGTCATCTTTTATATGTAGAAATCACATCAATAAAAGGTTAATATTATGTTCTTTCATTGAATATTATGAAGTGGGTCATTATTATTATTTTGGGGCATTACATATATGATATAGATATAGATTATTGAATTGTAATTATATATAATATAGATATAGATTATTTAAAATTGAAAAATATAAATATAGATTACTCAATCATAATATATGTAAATCTGTCTCTCTCTCTCTCTCTCTCTATATATATATATATATATAAATGTTTAGTATGCATGAAAAGAATAAATTTTGATATGTACGTTAAGTAGTAATGGCTATGGTGGGAAAAAAAAAGTGTTACAAAATTTTAATTATATAAATCATTTTATGCTTTATGATGAAAAATTTAAAATATTTTAATAGAAGATATTTCATGGCCAAATATTTTTGAGTGTGTGATTTATTAATTATTATTTTTTACTTGAAAAACTTTTTGAGTTGAGTGTATGATTTATTAATTATTATTTTTTAATTAGAAACTCCTTGTTTGTTTGTTTGTAAGGAATGAAGGAATGATTTTAGGAATGAAAAACGCATTCTTTATTTAAAAAAGAAAGTGTTTGAGTGTGTGATTTATTAATTATTTTTTTTAAATTGAAAAATCAAGAAATTTAGATTGAGCACTTGGAACTCTCATATTTCTTCTCACTAAAAATTCCCTTTTGCTTATATAATATGTAGAATTACTAAACATAACACTTTAAAAAAACTCCTTAGTATATTTTTTTCAATCATAACACTTCAATGTAACATTCAAATATATAACACACTAAAAAATCCCTTAATGCACTTTTCTCAAACGTAACAACGTAACATTTTAAAAGAATTCTTTGGTGTACTTTTCCAAACGTAATAATCTAATTAATGTAACACACAAAAACTCCTTAATGTACTTTTTTCAAACATAACACTCTAATGTAATACACTAAAAAATTCCCTAGTATACTTTTCTCAAACGTAGTGTATTTTTCCCAAACGCAATTATAACGATTTCGGTTTACACCAAACCCGTTTGTTGTCTTGGATCCGGGACTCTGTCTTAATGGGTGTTCATATTCTGGTTTGTCTTATTCCTTTTTGAAATAGGTTGTGTGAGTATTGTGGTTGTGTTTGAAACAGGTTGGGAGTTCGTTTTCAAGGAGTTGAATGCCAGAATTTTGCTTATTCGCTCGAGTGGTCTTTTGCAGTCTACAAACTACTAAGAGTTTGATATCTACGCTGAAGCGACGCTTCTTTCACTCGAGCGAACTTTTACAGGTCTAAATTACTGAGAGGGGTGCATTGTGCGCTTGAGCGACCATTCCTGCGCTCGAGCGATGTCTTCATTGTGTCTGGTTACTCGAGTGACCATTCCTGCGCTCGAGTGATTTGCGCATATATTAAGCACAAAGGGGGTCACTTTTGAGTCATTTTCTAATCTCTCTCTTTCTCTCTAAGTGACCCCCTTCGGACTGGGACAACATCACCTGCAACATCTATTATTATTTTATATCTGTGGAAAATCATTTTCAGGTGCTGATGATATGCCTCTGCTAAGACAATAACTTGGGAGGACTTGGAGCCAAGAGCTTTTATTTTTAGTTATTGGTGTATTTATTTTTTACAAATCTGGGGATTTATTTGTATTGAGTTTAAATTCACTTTTGTTGTAACCAAGCACCGTCTTGGAAAGTTGTAGCCAATAGGGCATTACTACATCTGTTTAACCCTTATTTCATATCTTTTACTGATGACACATGTTATAGATTTAAGGTTAAGACTTGTGAATGCATTACTGCATGGGTTACACTTTTGTAAAAAGATAAAACCTTGCGAATGAAAGAACATCACTTTCAAACATCTATTATTATTTTATATCTGTCGTGGGTTGATCTTATTGTAATATTTTCGGGGCGTTACGATAATACTCTAATTAATGTAACATATAAAAACTTCGTAGTATACTTTTTTTAAACATAGTACTTTAATGTAACATTATAATGTAACACCAGAAACCACACTAATAGAAATATAGGTAGTGTTTGGTAGAGTTTTGTAAATGTGATTTGAAAGTATGAGTTGTATTTTGAGTTTGTGTTGTGGAATTATGATTTGAGTGTAGAAAATTTGTTTGGTAAAGAGTTTTGATTTGAGTGGGAAATTGTTGATGTGACATTTGATATGTGATACAAAAATTTACAACTCATAACTAAACATACAACTCAAAATTATTTTAAAGCACATAAAAAATTTTAAAAATTTCATAAAATGTTTTTTTCGATTATATAAAAAAAAAATACTATTCCGGTCAACCGGCCAGACGTCCCGTCGGCGTCAGGCAAAATTTTGAAAAAAAAAAATCTGAAAAGCGCAGCTGTGCAGAGAACTCTGCAGAGTTTTGGAAACGCGTTTTGAAAATACGTTCCAAACACCATTCTGAAATCACTATGTAGAATCATATTTCAAAAACACAAACAAACAGAGCCATAAATTTTCATGCTCGACAACTAATACTTCAGCCATCAATTCCCTCAAAAAGAAGCTTCCACACCTCACCTTTCCATTCTCATCCAAAAAATAAATCAAAAAATTAAAAAATTGAAATACAAAAAGGCATTCACTTAAACTCAAATGGTACTAAATCAAATATATACAACTTTCCAAAACAAAAAGGACTAATTGGATCATAAAAAAATTCTTAAAACTAAATAGATCAATATTGCCCTATATAAAATTTATGGGTAAATTTTTCAAAAAATATTGTATGGAATGAGATGTTATATGTTACCAGTCAATAACATACATAATGAAATTAGGTGAATATTTTTGTCTCTTATTAATTTATATAGTCTTTACTATTGTAATATTAAATTTCTCATTATTAATGATATAATAAATCTAAAAACAAAAATATATTGATGAATCAGATTTTTTAAAAGTTGGTGCTGTTGGAAAGACAAACTCAATTTGAGTTTGGTGGAGGAGAATTCTAGAGAAGATGAGAACAAGCAAGAGATTGTTGGAAAGTTCTAGAGAGAAGAAGAGAGAGCCAAAATAAAGAAGAACATGAAGTTTCAAGAAAGCTCTTATGTTGAATCTTAGAAATGAAAAAACATTGTGCACACACATTTTGTACACGGATTGAAAATCTATAAATAGATGATGATAGTTTAATGAATTAAAATCAATAAGAGGTTTGAGAGATAGAGAGATGGGAGATAAGAACCCACACAAAATTATATTTGCTATTCTGAGAAATAAAATTCATTGAATTATTTGTGTGTGAGACATCACAAATTCATACAAAATATATAGAAGCCCACCAACAGTGATATCAGAGCTAAAAGAGCCAGTTTGGGCCAAAATTTCGAAGAAACATAGAAGAAATAGAGAGTTTTCAAATTTGCTCAGATTGTCGAAATCAATATTTGAATATTTGCCCAGATTACGAAGGTGTCGAAATTAGGGGTGTTCGCGGTTCGGATTTGGACGGTTTACGGATCGGTTTGGACCCACTTGCATCTATGTAGTTTGGGGAAAAGACAACCCACAACCGCCCGTAGTGCGGTTTGCGGTTTCTGCGGATAGGATTCGAGATGTGCAGGCAGTTGCAGGCTGTTTGCGAATTGAATTTTTTTCTTCAAAAATTTATTTTTGAGCCTTATTTTTTTTCCCATTTTGTAAATATTTATTTTGGGCCCTTTTCTCCCCGTTTTCTAAAATGCTTCAATATTAATAATTAATAAATTAAAACTTATAAAATTAAAAACACAACAAAATCAATTCGTAACACAAACAGATCATTCAGAATCTTAAATCAAATCATAAACTAACACAAGCACATATTTCAAAATCCTAAACTAGAACTCCATATTCATGAAGGAATTTAAAATTCCAAATCACACTTCATCCGGGACAAGTTCAGTTATGTAACAATAATAATATGATGATTATTTATTTAGTTTCAATTGATATAATACTATTAGCAAATGTAATGGTAGAGTAAGTTCAAAGAATAAAGGATGTTTTGTTTTGGGCAAAAATATCTAGGTAGGATATAGAAATGAAATCAACGGTTAAAATAAAAAATAATAATAATAATAAATAAATAAATAAAAGTGCGGGTGGGTTCTTGCGGGTGCGGATTAAACCCACAACCCGCAAACATGCCATATTTCAAACTGCATCCGCCCGCATTGTGTTTGCGAAACCACCCATTTATATGCTGGTTGTAACGCCCTCAAAATAATACATAATACCCATCATTCAGACATGCAGTAATATAAGAAAATCAACGTCTTTCCATTCATCAGAGTAGTTCTTACAACAGTATTACATGTTAACAACAAAAGCAAATGCCCTATGGGCTTACAGCTTTCCAAGTCAACACATGGTTACACAAAAGAAGAGGACTAACTCTATACAAAATAAGCCCTTGGCTTGATATACATGTAATACAAACAAAATAATCAAAAAGAGCCTTCAACTCCCACAACTATCCAAGCTATATTCTTGGAGGTGGCATGCTACCTGTACCTGAAAATAATGTCCCATATAGGGTGAGCCAACGCCCAGTAGAGATATGCTAAACACAATATGAGCAGTGACTAAGACATTAGCAATTGATAAATGTTTAACTCCCATAAATCAATTTATAAACCATTTCCATTACATGACCACTATGTCTATGTTTCATTTCATTTTTCATTTCTTATCCAATTTCCAAATTCATACCCGTGGCTCAGAACCTGGCCACACACTCTAAACGAAATAATAATTCATATTAAACGTTTCCCATTTCGCAATAGATAAGCATACAAACTATATCAACACCTCAACAGATAAGCATATGAGCTATATCAACACTTCCATAGATAAACATATGAGCTATATCAACACTTCAACGGATAAGCATATGAGCTGTATCACTGGAGTCCATCCACTATCTTCTCCCAAATATTAACCAGTTTAGAGGTCCATCCCCTATCTTCCCCTAAACCGTGGAGTACATCCTCTATCTCCTCCCACACAACACAATGCATATAAACAATTATTATATACATCATCAAACAATACATAAAGTTAATGTATTCTTCCAACTGTCATATACAATGACACATTCCATCGATTAGTTTTAGTTTGCCTAATCATCATGCATTGTCTACAACAATCACAACTACCCTCCGCCGGTAGCCCAAGGCAATTATTTCTAAACAGATAGTAAATGCGTTAACAGATAATTTATCCATATTTCCAGAAGTGAGCGATTAATAAATCCAACTTCACTAATCCATCTCATAATGAGCCAATTTCATTATATTCAACTCAATTCCATATTTTCTCAACACTTGTCATTAATTACACTAGTGACCCAAAAATACCCAAACATGGAATTTTCCCCTTGATTCCCAATATTGACTCCAAGAGTCCATATATTACCCACAACATTAATATACTCATTTTGAAACCCAAATACGTATTTAAGGTCCAAAATAAACAAACCCTCTTTTCAAAATTAAACATTTGAAACCCTAGTTTCCAAAACCCAAAACCATTTATACAAAAACTCAATATCTAGGTCAAAACCCATAAAAGTGAGTAGGAATCCCTACCTCAAATTCGGAGCCCAAGGGAAGGAGATGAAGAAAACCAAAATGCTCCAAACTCCAAGATCCACGGATCAAAACGAAGCCCTCGACGATCAGCACAACTTTTACAAAGGCCAAAGGAAAGGGAAGCACTCTAACTAGATCCAACCCTAGAGAGAAGAGAGTTTCTAGAGAGAGAGGCTCTCAAAATCAGTTTTGGGAAAGTAAGAGAGAGAGAGTGAATGTAAAAAGTGATTCAAAAATGCCTAACTGCCTTCTGATATACGACATTCCCGCTCGATCGGAGAACAGGACGCTCGAGCGTAAAGTACAAAAATCTGGACACGCTCGAGCTCAATATGGCCAGCTCGAGCGCCAAGACACAAGAACGAAAACCAGTCCGCTCGAGCGTAGATTTCCCCCTCCCAGAACTCACACCAAAAATGTATTACCCGCTCGAGCCCTAACAAGCCCGCTCGAGCGTAGAAATCACACCTGCAGAAGTTTTGCAGAGTACCAAAATACTGGGAGTGTGCAATCTCCGCTCGAGCGCTAGAGGACCCGCCCAAGCGAAACGACCAAAAACCTGGCAACAAGATTTTAGACCAAGGCTCAACCCACCTGCTCGAAACATGCCCAACACATCCTAAAACTCAAACAAATGGAATCAAAGGATGACAATAAGATAGATACAACTACCAACTCCGCGGAACCAAAGTCCGGAATACAACAGATATCGAAAGGGAAAACCGGGATCGCTATAACCTCCCCCCCTTAAAGAATTTCGTCCCGAAATTAAATTCAAGTTTTTCAGAAACAAGATTTTCTCAATTCCCAACATTAATACAAATGCAGAGTTTAACAATTCGACCCATTTCCGGTCATTCCATCTCCATTCAAGAGGCAATTTACCACATATCTCAATATGTATTAACAACATGCTTTCCTCGAAATTCATCAATTTCTACATACATGTTTCACAATTCTATATCATATTCCACATTCATGATATATCTCCATTTCTACAATACATTCAACATATACAATGTTATAACAAACTTTTAATTTAAGGCAAGTTCTACAATACTTCCATAAAACAAAACATTCACAATGTTTTACAACTTAAGACATATATAATGCTCTTAAGGTTCAATAAGATTACAAAATTTCCAATGCATGATTACATGTCAACAAACAAGTCCGGATATTTCTCGCGGACCACCAACTCACGTTCCCAAGTGGCTTCCTCCACTCCGTGATGTTTCCACAAAA